CCCCAAACTTAAACTAGACATTGTCGTTAATGTCTTTAATCTTAAATCTGCATATAAAGAGGTGGGGAAGAATGTGAAGAATAGAGTCTATTGATATGACTTGTAATTCAATGGCTAGCTTTCCTATTACTCCTGTTGGCTCATTGGTCAACATTAGTTTAAATGTTTTACGACGTCATGTTCCTGAAAAATCAAATAAAGTATTAAGATCAAATAATTGGAACAATTATTACTTAACTCTAACATCTAATAAACCAATTAACATATCGAAAACCTGGGGGAAATGAGGTATAGACGATGAGTCACAAATAAACTTAAAAGTTGGGCCTCCAATTAAAATTTTCAATGCAAATCTATTGAATCCCATTTAACTCGAACTCATTTAATATAATATTTTTCTCCAAGGTTTCATTTTTTAATTTTGCCATTATTCGCCACTTTTGCATTCTTTTCTCCAATTTTTCATTAAACATAAAATTGTACCTACAAAATACAATATAACATAAATTAGATAGAATTTTATTCAAAATACAATAAAATATCATGATTTAGGGCATCCAATAAGTGTAAAAACTACAATTATCAATAGTGTTGAGTTTGAAATGGGAAATAAGGTCATAAGGAATGTTCTTTGAAAAGAACTTATTTCTCTTCCTAGTCTTGCTATTAACAATGATCAGGTTCCTAGCATTGTTCTAGATGCAATCCAAGACAACGATAAAGTACTCCCTGATCAAAATCAAGAAGTTGCTCCTGAAGAGAAAACTCAACAATCTCAAAAAGAAGTGCTAATAAGGCGATATACTAGAGAAAGAAGTGCGATTTCAAGCGATTATAGTATTTCTTCAAGAACTTGAGTTTGACAAAGGGTCAATGGCAGATAATTCAATCAACTTTCGACAAGTCAATGTGAGTAAATTTATTTTCCCATGATTTATGTCGATGACATACTATTGGCCAGTAGCAATATATGCTTATTGCACAAAACCAAAAGATTTCTAATTAGGAATTTTGAAATGAAAAATCTTGGAGCGCCTTTTGTATTAGAAATTAAGATATATCGAGATTGCTCTAGGGTATTTTTAGGTTATCACAAAAGAATTATATCGAAATTGTTCTTACTAGATTTGGCATAAAAGATTGTGCATAAGGAAATATTCATATTGCTAAGGGCAATAGTTTAGTCTCAATCAATACCTTAAGAATGAGATGGAAAGAAAATAGATGCAAACAATTCCTCATGAGTCAGCTAGAGTCTTATGTATGAGTTCGGATCTAGGCGTTCATATTAGGAATGTTAGGTATGTATGTGAGTAACTTTGAAATGGGTCATTGGAAAGCAGCAAAACGATTTATGAGATATTTATAGAGAATAAAAGACTACATACTCACATATCGAAAGTTAGATCATTTGAAGATCATTGGATATTCTGATTCCAATCTTGTTGGTTGCCGACACTAAAAGATCTAGTTTGGGCTATGTCTACTTACTGATCGAAGGTGTTGTTTCCTATAAGAGTGCTAAGCATTCACTAATAACTCCTTCCACCATGGCAACTAGATTCAAAGCTTGTTATGAGCCAACAAATCAGGCGATATGGCTGTGAAATTGTCATTGGGTTGCGAATTGTGGATGATGTTGAAAGACCACTTAATATTTTTTGTGACAATAAATCGGTAGTGCTATATTCAAATAACAATAGAAGCTCTTCGAAGTCAAAGCATATAGACATTAACGGTTCGTTTGATTGCAAGGGTGTAAAATGAGTAGAAAGAAAATGAATTACATGGAAAGTAATTGTCTAGAAATTGTTTTGCAGGTAATTGTTAATTAAGTGTGTTTGATTGGTATAATTTTCTACCTGGAAAATTTTTAAATTTTGTATTCGTTTGACTTTGTTTTATATGGAAATTATCTATTAAAGTGATATTTTTTCCACAATTGGTTATAAAATTTGTTTCCGTTGCCAAAAAGTAAGAAAAACAAAAAAAAATATTTCCTAAAAAATCATTTTTTTGTCAAAGTTTAGTGTTCGTTTGACTTAGTTTTACATGAAAATTATCCATTAAAGTGAAAAAAAAAATTTATTGGTTATAACATATTTTCCATGGAAAATTTTGCATATCAAACCGCCAAAAAAGTGGAAAGTGAAAAATATTTTCCTAGTTCCCTGAAAAATTTCGCGTATCAAACCGGGCTTAAAATCAAATAGATTGAATCCAATAATATTCCAGGGAATAAAATTATATGATATTTAAAATTACAATTATAGTTCTCAAATTACACTTAAATGTGCACATTAGTCCTTATTTGAACTTTTTGTCACAAGCGAGTCTTCAACCTTCAATTTTAATAGCGAGTCTTGGAAATTGATTCTATCAAATGTCATCATGAAATATTTACCTCGTGACTCCCACGTGAAGCACTATATCATTGATATAGAGCATGTCTTGTTGTGCTTAAAGTAAGTCAATCGTACTTTCAAGATGTTGTGTTAACTCATCAATGTCATCATAAATTTTTCCAAATATGATTTTTAAATTTACTCTTTTTTGTAAAATAGGCCCTAACTTACTATTCAAACTTTTAAGCAGTGCCAAACAAGCTTTATATGGTCGATTTTGTAATTCTCT